CGCCGCCCCGCCCCCAGCGAAGAGACTTGCTCGGATGCTGAGGAGCCCGAGCCCGGGCGCACCGAGCCGGACAGCGCCCGGACGCGCCCGCCTGCCGCCACCACGCCCAAGGCCATGTGGAGGCCGTGGTGACCCGGGCGCCCCCTGGGGGTGTGCATGTGTGCGTGGGCATGCAGGTGGGCATGTGTGCATCTGCACACGGGTGTGTGTGCAGGGGTGCCTGCATGCACTTTTGCACACGGGTGTGTGGATAGACCTGTTTGTGTGCACACATGAATCTACCTGGTCATGCCAGACCAGGTTTGAGGACAGCTGTGGCAGTGTGTGCGTGCGTGCGTGCGTGCGTGCGTGTGTGTGAGAGAGAGAGAGAGACTTGGGGGATGCAGGGATGCCCCACCAAGGGTGCTACTGTTCTTTTCCATAGCAAAGCTCTTGTGTGGATGTGCAGTTGAATTCCCAGCCCCGTCTGTCTGTCCCCCCTTTTTTCTTGCCTTCTGGGCCCTTATAAATGGCCCAAATCTTACTACCTTTTTTTTCCCTGTTAAAGAAAAGGCCTTGCCTGTGTTTTATCCTTGGGGGCTGACTGGCAGAGAGGGATAGGACATGTGTGTGCATGCACAGTTTGAAGATAGCAAAGATCCCTGAAAGGGATTGGTATGTTTAGGATCCTGATTGTTAGCCCTCTAGACTCTCTAGCCTTCAGTGAAGGCTGAGCAAACTAGAAAAGAAGCTGGAGTTAAACGAAGATTTAAAAGATTGGTGGCAGGGTGCCTCTTCTAGAACTGCGCATTTTGCTTTTAGCACACCAAGTTTTTTATCATGACTGTCTGTATATTAGGGTATCAAATGTTTTATTTTTAATCTTTTTTTTTTTTTTTAAATAAAAAAAAATACTGAATACACAATTGACTGCATGTATTTTGGAGTGTGATGCACTTCTAACCACTTTCATAGATTTCATAGACACTTAGGGCTGGAAGGGACCAGCCCTAGTCTCTGACATTTTCAACTTTTTACAATTGAAATACCCAAGACTGTGGAACTAGCTATTTAATGAGATGTCTCCTGTTGGAAATCAGGCACTTAATTCTTGTACTAAACTTGTTAGCTCCAGTACTGGAATTTGAATGTTTCTTTTAATACTGAGAGATTTATTTAAGATATTGCACTAAGCAACATAGAGATGGTTGTAGGTTGATATTAGGACATGAAAATTTTCTAATCTTGCTTATTGAATACCAGTTCCAAGAAACTATGCCTCCCCCACAATCTCTAACTCCCTTGTACATTCACAGTTCTTACTTCATCAGCCTAAGGTGGACTTCTAGTGGGGGCTGGACTTGACTGAACTTATACATTAATCTGTTGAATATGAAAGGGGACAAAAGACTACAAAGGGAGGGCAATGGATTTTTAGACAAACATTTCTAATGACCTCTAGGACTTCAGCATTCCAGTACACAAAGCCTGATGCCCTATTGTTCCTATTTTTGGAAGAGCGGGGTTATAGGCTCTGAAATGATCTTTCACAGAGCTGTCATTTGTATGAAGGGACACTGTAAAATCTCTTTACTTAATACGTGAACTCTTCCAAGCAAAGACCCAGTAGGAAGGGAAGCAAAACAAGAACTAGAAGACTAGGTGTGTAACTTTCCTTTTGTTAAAACCCTATGGAACAATAAAACTAAACTTAATGACAGACCTCTGACTTCCATTCTTTTCATTCTCTGATGTGGGTATTTTTTATTCGAAGCTGGTTGTGAAAGATGTTTATTCCCCCCCTTGAATTCTCACCTGCCTTTGAGCTACTCTGAAGGGCAAACCTCTCTCACCGTCTTCCTTTTAAGACCTTTCTGCTTTAGGGAACCAGATGAGCATTTTGATGTGCAAATGGGGGGGGGGGGGGGG